AATGGGTGCTTGATTATACTATTTCCAACGCGGACCGTCCGTTTGGCTACTCCGTCTACCTTCAACTGATAATCCCCGACTGTTTTCACAGCTGTATTCCACGTTTCCAGGGGCTCGTTTGGTTGGGGTCTAGCCAAAGACACCGCCGCACCTGTATCGATCAAGCATAGTTCTCTGTGCCCCTCGATCTCCAAAGTGGCCTGTACTGCCCCACGATCTACTGCTCCAATGATTGCTTTGTTCGAGAGAAGACGCGTGTACGGAATCAATCGTGTATTTGAAGAGAATTTATTATATCTCTCAGGGCAATTTCGCCGCCAATGACCTCGCCTGCCACAATGAAAACATGCATTTGTGTTTTTCTTCCGTCCGAAATTTGATTTGAGTGCCGCCACTTCATCCGTCAGTCTGTCGACTGTGGCTTTCACGTCTTCCGGTGGCTTGTCCTTATGGACTTCCTGTGTTCGCACCGCCGCAATTTCCTGATCGATGAACTGCCTCACAACTTCGGCCAGGGTTGTTACGCCCATGGTACGTGCCACATTGATGAGTTTCGCTTTCTCGGTATATCTTCCGGGAGGCTCTCTGTAATACGGTCAAGGAGTATTTCCGAGCGAGCATTCTGATCCAATGTCGGTGGTGCGCGATCCAATAGCCCACTCAGGGCCACGGCATGCGAAAGTGGATCCACACAGACTCCGAGCTGCACCGTCTTGAAGCGACGAAGTGCATCCTGGCGATCGGCCGGGGTGTCAAAGCCCGCGATCAGGGCGCTCTTCGCGGCGGCCCACTCCATTTTCTCCGGGCCTCTTCGTGCCGCGTCCAACACTGCCCGCGCCCCATTCTTGAGGATCGCTAGGAGAGCCGTCAACTTGCCGCGATCCGTCCGTATTCCGGCCAACTCCGCAACATCTTCGAACTCCTCCAGGAACATCCGCACATCTCTATTCTCGGAAGCTGCTAGCCACGTAACTTTCATCCTGATCCTGGCGACGGCATCAATTGTTGTATTCCGAAAAGGCGGTGCTGGGCGAAGAGAGTTCCTTATTGCGAAATACAGATTGAAGGTCACTAATTTTGCGTGCATAACACGAAAAGCTCATCAGAAACATGCCTTCGCAGCACATCGTGACACATGGGGCAATGGGTAGAGCAGGCAGTGATTATTCTTTCTAAATATATTACTTGGCCCTTGATGGTCTTGTTCTAATTTTATTCATCGTAAGTTACCGACTACTCACAAGTGAGTGGTACCTCAGAGCATAAATTCAAAAAGCTATCAAGGTGCATTGAGAACTTTGGAACTGGATTGCGCAAGAAACTGAACTCTCGTTGGTACCAGCCGTCGGTCTTGTAACCTGACCTGACCTGAAACAACCAGACGTCCGTCGTGAGCTTCAAACACCGGCTAGATAGCATGTGGAAGCAAATATTTCAGTTAAACGTAGCTAACTAACAGAGCCACTGTGCGGGATCGTCACGAAGGTACTCAGCTGGTAGGTAGTTTTCCATCCCTTCCCAATCTCAACGGCTTTCATAGTTAACACTATCGTGTGCGCACACTTGTTACCTATATTATCCCTGCTTCTGTGTTTATGGATTTGTGAAAGTCCTTCCTGTAAGAACCCAGACAAACCATCTGTGACCCAATTTCGTGAATTTTACGTTTTTACTGACTCAACACCATTCGCCATATACATACATACACGTTTGAAGTTCTATCCCATTTGTTTACTTACGCATCAGTCCCCTTATTTGACTTTGTTTGTTTGTGCTTTGTCTGGACTCCATTTGTTTTAAACGCAACCTGACCGCTCACATTTGACTCGCTCGAGTGCAGCGTGACGGTGCACGTTCTATTCTGGTCCGGGCTCATTTCTTCCGTTCATATTTCTTGAAGTATGCTCACGATAACGTTTGGCTTTTGCTTTCAAGTTGTTTTGAGATCACCTTTGAGGTTTGTATATATTTTATTTGCTCCTTTGATAGTTCATTATTGCAGTACCGTAGAATTTTGCCGGGCCCTCCGTTTTGTTGACGTTTTGAGATCCAATCCCGGCTACTCGTTGCCCAGTGATCTGTTCGCGAAGCTGCTTCTGCACACTTCCTACTCATGCCTATCTCATACCTTAGAATATTTATAAGGCTTGAATTCCCTACTCATTACTTTTTTGCAGTCATATCTTTTTATTGCTTTAGTTGCTGGACAGACCGCTTGCTATTGGCTCAAAGATAACAACTGTGATCCTCCACAAACAACAGTAGTCCAAATTGTAAATAAACTTGTGCATATTCCAAGAAGCACGGAAATTATGCGCGAAGCATGATCGTATGATCATATAGTGAAACATTGATTCATAAAGCTACTTGACCAACACAGTCGAACTGTACCCTGGCGTTCCGATCGACATACCGTTAGTGGAAATCGGAATGATCCCACTCTGGGGCACCTGAGCACCGGCCTTTGATTGTCGTGTATTGGGTATGTTTACAGGTGAGGTAACGTGGATGTACGACCTCCAAAGTTTACCTTTACCCTGTCTTCATTGATGGCAGAACTGCTGAGTACCGGCGGAGCCTCCGAATTTCGGCCGCGCTATCCGTTTTTGCATCACCGGATTATTCACTGCATAACCATAACTGTGTCTGAGTTGTTTTGCATTATTCGCATGAACTTTTACCTTGTTTGCCAAGGCGACTGTTGTGCTACTACAGTAATGATGAATTTGATCAAACACACCCGAGATTTCATGCATTCCATCAAATGGATCAAATGTGCGTCGACAACCTCTTTTGGGAGGACTATAAGGAATGAAACCGACCGGACGTTAAGAAAGCTTTCGAAAAATCCGAGGAAGCATCGAGCCAGTTGGAAAGTTGCTCTTCGGAAACAAACCATTTCCCGCTTGTGTGTTCCCAACATTCTCAGTTCCAACGTCCGATCTCTTATCGGAAATATGGCCCATCTCACCAGCTTAAGCAAGCAACGGGAATATGCAACTAGGTGTGATCATGCTACAAGAAAGTTGGCTCCACAATAAAATTGAGGATGAAATAATACACTTCGATGGATTCGCTGGCTATCGTGTTGATTGTTCTATACCTTATTACCAACGGGGAGGTGGTGTCATCACGTTTGTCAAACATCAGTGATGTCATCTGACCAAAATTGTGTTTTCTTATTCCACAGGTTATATAAACGCATTAGCAATTCAATGTAAGCCCAGACATTTTGGCTTTTCTCGGTTACCTATTCTTGTGAATGAGTATATAGTACCCTCTTGTTCATCTTATTTTCCTTATTATTTTTATGATTCTCTTTCAACCACACTGATTGAATACGTAGATACTTCAGTCTGTATCATTTGTGGTGATTTCAATAATTCCGATAACCGTTTCTTGACCACCTTAGGTCTTCAAAACTTTGTTACCTTTCGCACTAGGCTTGATGCACATCTGGATTTGGGTTTTAGCAATCTTCCCAATTCACTTCTTGTAGAACGCCGTCCCCCCTGGGAATGTCTGATCATTCTGTTGATGTTTTCCCCCACCATCTTTGGCAGAACGAACCGTCGTCTCTTTACTCGAAGTCGTGAGCATAAGCGGTGCGTTTATACTTCTTCAGCAACAGGGTGATCAACTCATGGAATAAGTTACCACATGAGCTGGTGGAGCTAGCGCGCGTACATGCTTTCAAAACGAAGCTCGATAAGCGCTGGTTGAACTTATTTCCCAAAGTAGACGCATAGGTTAAGGTCTGGAACTAGTGGTAGGTTTTTTCACTTACTAACCACCCCAACAGGGGAACGCTTACAAATGTGAGGTCTCTCGCCTGAGCAAGGGGCGAATAAATTCTTTTTTCCTTTCTCTTTCCTTGCAGAAGCGGAGACGACTCCGACGAGAAGAAAATGTATGGAACTACAATATAAAACACTCGCAGTGGTAGGGGCCGACACGTGGCTTACTACCGAAGGAACTCTGGATGCTCGATTGGCCGTGGCCATCTCCTGCCCTATGCAAACTGTCTGACCGACTGACTGACTGTCCTGTCCTGTTCTTTGACCTTGACCTGGCGCGCGCTTCAAATTTTGGAGTGGAACGCTCCGTTGTGGAATTAGGTCAGCAACAAGTAGAGGCAAAACTCGAGAGTCCAATTTCTTGTTGGAAAATTAGTGGAACCGCAATTTATACCAGACGTTCTGCGCTGGAAATCGGAAATCGGAATCTGGGAGCCATAACTTAGCGGAACCTGGGTGGCAGGAGCAACGTGACGAATTTCCGTTCAGGTGAGCGACTAGGCTACAAGATGTACTCTTGAGAGTACTACCTAGAGTTATTTATCCTTATTTTTTATCGCTTTTGGGTAGGTTTTCATCTTGACTCACTCTTTCCAGGAGACAAAGTCTTAAAGCGTGTTTAGACAAGTACCATGGTAGCTCAGAGAAATCCTCCTAAAGATGCTACACGAACCAAACCGGTTATTGCACCCTATTAGTGTGCCAGAAAAGGGTGTTCTCTCGAGTCGTTGAGGGCATACGTTTTGATCTGTGCCAGGATTGGTTTCATCAACGGTGCAGTAAACTATCATCCAAGGCAGTTGAACACTATGCTGTTCACGAGTTTCTGAAATGTGTGTTCGAACTGCACCTGGGCAAAAACACTGCCACCGAAAAGGGGACTCCCCTTCACAGCTGGTAGCACAAGCTACTCCGTGTTACTCGACCCCGATTAGGCAGGTGAACATAATTAACCCCGAGCTAGGGACTCTGAAGCCTGGGGAGGGAAACCAGTTTGGAGTAGATAATGACCGAGAATGGATTTCAGAGGGGAGCGTGGTGACCAACCAATCACGTCAGTGGCACCCCTAAGCCGATCTCCTAAGA